TATCTTGACTTCTTGAATGCTTAAATGGGTATCATCGCTGAACTTAAACTGACATGCTTGAAAAGATCATGATGCGCGTATGTCACTCCCGCTCCGTGAAATCCGAGCCAAGTGTGGTGACACGATTAGGGGTGGCTCCGGCCGCACCAGGCACTTGCGCCCTCTACGTCATGATACCGGAAGTAGATGGCGGCTGAGGAGAGAGTGCGGTAGCTACTGTGCAAGTATACTCTCATTATACTCCAGCGTAAGTCACCATCAAGGTTATAGCTTGTGTTAGGCTTAGGACTATGCGTTGGCGTAGGGGTTGTGTTTGGGTTAAAGTTAGCGGTAGAATTAACGTTATGGTTAGTACTAGTCGTTAACATTTAGGTTGGTGTTAGTTTTTACCTCCTTCCTCACACCTCCATAACCTTTCACTTTCCGATTTGAATTCGGCTTTCGCGGCCACAGGTGCTCCTTCATCTTATCATTCCAGGATGTCACTTTTTGGTTGAGCTGTTCGCGTGACCCGCTCTGGTTTTTCTTTAAGTTTACTCCAGGTGCCTAAACCATTTTTCCCTGTTAATCTTGAAGCCACCACCCACTGATCTACAGTACCATGCTTCCCCTTCCCTTTTTGGGTTTGTCGGTCAATTTTGCGCGGTTTCCCTTCGTATCCTGGTTCTCGTTCACGGTTCTTCTTTTCTTTACGCACATGCCTCCGCATAGTCGAACTTCAGTCTGAAACATAGCCGATACTGCAGTTCGTCCAGGAGCACTCATACTGACCTACAGGACAACGGACAGGCTTCACGAAGTTAGCGTTGGAGGCTGCTCTAGAAAGCCTCTACTGTGTTTGTGTCCTTGCTCACTGTGGTTAACGGTCCAGTTCTCATAGCCAACTGAGTGCATGTGGGCGTACGCCCTCCACTTTTCCGTTAGAATCATGTTTATTCTAGATACTCACTTTGTTATTAAGGCATGCAATGCGGAGAGCCTTCAACCTTTTATATTCCAAGGACCCGTAGACCTACAGGACCTACGGTTTCCTTCTTCTACCCTTATTATAATTTCGCCTGCCTATCAATATGAACCTACACGATCGGGCCGCTAATTTTGTCTCACGCCCCCGTAACAGTGTTTTGGATTACACATTGCCGTAAAAAGGTTTATACTAAAGTACATAGAGTGACACGACCTTGGAACTCCCTACCAAGCGAGATGGTTACTGCCGACACCATTTTTTTAATTTTACATCAAATTGACGCTTCTGTTACCATTTCGCAACCCTAACTTACAATTTTATTTCCGTCCGTTAGCATCCGCACAACTTCCCGCAACACACACATTAGTTAGGGTCATTTTCATGCCTTTTCTTATGATATCCATCTAGCGTCTTGCGATTGATAGGCCTCCAGTCTGTTCAGGTTGCTGGTCCTCGACCGTTAATCGATGTTGTCCTTTCGGCCAGCCTCGTGCCATTGGCTGGCATTACTTTTCCTTCTATTTCGCAGCACCTGCTCTAGCACGTACAGTGCCTATTTAAACAAAAAAAGATACTAAGGATTAAAAATCATTATTTGCGGTTGTCTCTGGGTTTTATATGCTCTTAAGGTATGCCCCGCCAGCAAAACCACCTAGTAGTGGGGTTCGCATATTTCAGTAAAAGTCTCCAACAGTTTTCCCTTTAATGAAGCTTATTAGGTGTCTGCCAAATACGCTAACTTGAAGCAGCTAGTAGATGGAGTTGGTATATGCACTAGTGTATTAAGGGACTTTACCCATCACATTCCCGCGCCAGGAACCGAGGTCTTCTGCGCTGTAAGCTTAAGTTTGGCCGCGTTACAGGGAAGCAGATATTTACGTTATCATTCTCGAGGACGACAGATGTGCCCATCGCGTCACTAAAAAGAAACATTCACGTTGATTTACTTATCGGTAGCTACAGTTATTTTGCCTTTGCTTGAGAGAGCACAAAAGGACAAGTGTCCAAATCTTAACAACACTAAGCGGTTTACTCATTTGTCTTGAGTAGATATTTAGCAGATTTCTAACGTGTGAGTTCTCATACACACCTGTCGCATCTTTTAAGGGTTCTCCGCGTCCCACCTCTGCGACACCGCTTAGCCGCTTACCCCAACAGTCTTCAACCTCCAGCACGGAGACCTCTAGAAAGGAGGATCCGGATTCTGCCGCGCTTGTGGACTGCTGGCCACCCCCACTCAGCCATCTGCCATCTTCTTCTCCTTCCAAGGACGCCGCTCAGTTGGCTTCTTTCATCACTACCTCATCTAACAAGCGTGTTTCTAAGGTGGAGGCCCGCTGTCGGGCTCAGCAATCTCGCGCACACCGGCTTCATCCCCTGCTCTATGCCGCACCAAATCAGGACGATTCTGAGACTCGCTTTTCAGCTATCCTTTACCCTAACCGTTTTCATCTGCCCATGGAGGTAGGCAACTCAGCCATCTCTTATGTATTCCCTTATCCACTAAATTTTCCTCTTTATCTACCATCTGCATGAATAGTTGTACTTCTTTTATGGCCAGGTAGCACTCTAATTGCATTATCATTACAGTGGTTTACTTACATTCTGTGAACGCATCATACTGTTACGGGATCTTAAACCGCAGAACTATTATTACTGGTAGTGAACAGAAGAAGGTGTGGATTTGTGGCTTATCTGTGACGCGCCAGTGGTCAAGAATCGGCCCCGGTGTTGAGGTGGTGTAAAGTTCAATGGGGTATTACCATAGGGGTACGCATGTTTCCTATTCGCAAATCGTCGTCACTATTCCACATCGTAGAAGTTTGTATTGCAGACGTGTCAGTGGTACCAGGGC